GCCCTGATTTTGAATAAGCAAGCTGTAGTATATAGGAACCATCCTTTTGAAAGAGAAAGCAAGTGATGGACTTAATCCAATACACCTCTACTCAAAAGTAATTAGGCATGTGTTGCTTTTCAATGAAAGCTGAGGACTCCCAGGTGTAGAGAAGCTTGGAAGGAAAGCGGGAGACAAGGGGCTGGATTCATTTCCTTTACTTGTTATTGGTTTCCCATTGATAAATCATTGCAAAACAAAACGTAAAATCAACAGAACAGAAGCATGGAAGAAATCCATTTTAATATTTCAGTTAATTGGCAATATGCTCATGCTTAATTCTCCAGACCATCTGTCTTATTCAACATATTTTGGATCCACTTTAGTGGGATAACCATTTTTACTGCAGGTTTAAAATTAAAGTCCAATAAATAAACACAGCTGGAGAATTTCAAAACTTACTAGCAAATAACGCATACACTTCTTGTGTACGCCAGAAACAGCACTCATGGCTGGCCTTTCTGACTGCACATTTCTTTTTCAAAATAAGTACCAAGGGAAACCACCAAGGTTAAAACACTTTAGAAATAATTTATAGATTATATAGTTACAGTTCCTGCACTATAGTGAAATATTCATTCTTTGTAGACACATTCAATGCTTTTACAATGTGGGTAATACATGAATTACAATATCCTGTGCCAGTTATTTCCTTGCTTTTAAAAGCTGATGTTTTGAAAATTCATGTCACAACTTATTACAATGATACTCTGCCTACTTTGATCATCCTGGTTTTTAGATTGACTTGGTATCATACTTTGCTTACAACGATATTGCAAGCCAAAACATGTAAGAATTTGCAAGGAAACCAATAAGAGTTTTCATAGGACAGCAGCTTTTCTGAGATTTTCAACAATCATGCATTCCTATCCAAAGAAAATATGAATACAGATTGATGCTCTCTCTCTCGCTCTCTCTCTCTCTGTGTGTGTGTCATGTTAAGCTGCTTTGGGAGAAAGGACAGGGCAAATAATTTTTAAAAATGAGGCGAGGGTTGTAGTGCATAACTTGATGAAGAAGTCAACCCAGTTGAATAAATAGGAAAGGAATTGAAAATAATAATAAAAACTGTTGCTAGCATAATGCAACTATACAAATCTATGGTGCTGTCAGGGAACTGCCATCAGCTCAGAGGTGAGAGGTGGAAGGGCAGTTGGGTTACAGGGAGACTCCAAAGATTGTGAGAAGCAGCTCTTCCTCTGAGAGGAGGGAAGCCCCGCCTCCAGTGGGGAAGGGATGCAGGAGTCGGAGGATGCTAGAGAGAGCCGCAACACCGAGCCTGAGCAAAGCGAGGGGGAGGCAGGTTCCCCTTTGCCAGATGCAGATCAGTAAGTGATGACATGAGCCAACGGCATACAAATACATCAGCACCCCTCAAGTTAATCAGAATTTGAATCACCTAGTTTAGCTTCTTGACTCATAATACAGAAAAATAGTACAGAACATAGTATTCTGTATTCTGTACAGAATATAGTAACGATTCATCTGTTTTCACCTTCTGCCACTCCTGAATAAAAATCCATTTATTCAAAAACATGTAGATCACATTTTTCACCAAAGCTATTTGTTCTAGTTCCAGTCCTCAGGTTTTTTGTTTATATATTTTTTTAAAAAATGGAATTCTGCAGTTCCCATGATCTATTTTGCACTGTTTAACCAACAGTTCTAATAAATAACGTGCTGCATTCTCTTAATGAGGGTGATCCTGACAAATGTAGCGAAACAGAAGATGATGCATTTCTGAAGGCACGATTAGACGCAAATAACCGTTTCCCCTGTAATGTAGTAAGATTTTTAAAATTATTATAACTGCTGTAGATTTAGTGCAGGTACCATCATCTTTCAAACAGGGAGTCAATGATTACACAGTGCGGAGCATCCTCCAAATCCATTCCATCTTTCCGTAACTTCATTTGATCATTAATTCAGAGGCTCATCCGATAGAGGATTCTGCTCGTTCAACATTTTATCAGCTCATCTGCTGATTGCTTTCCTGACACTTTGGCCTCCAGTAATACTTTCTCCCGATTGTCATCCAATCTCCTCCCCAGCCACCTTTCCTCCTTGCTGAAATAGAAGAAGAGCTCTTTAAGCCTCATCTTCTAGAGAGCTGCCTGAAGAATGTCCGGCCCAGGAGGCCCGCCGGCTGTTGACATATTTGCACAGCAGCAGTTTCTTTTCATGATGAGAAGAAAGACAGGCACAAAGTATGCACGCTGGAGGACTGCTTTGAGCTTTATGGCAGCAGCTTCATTTCTCAAATCAGACCAATACTAAAAAAAGTATCACTAAAGAACCAGTGTGCGTGGTTTGAAACAATTGTTTATAACATTTGCTAAAAGGAAAGGATAATGGAAAGCAGGTTACTTGGCCACCAACTCTTATAGGCCACCTAGTCTAACTCCCTACTCAATGCAAGACACCTAGAGCTGCAAAAGATCTGCAAGAGATAGCTGCGACACCTCTGCTTGAAGACCACCAAAGGCGATCCCACCACCCTTCTTGGCTCCAGTGTAAAGTTGCTCTTGTCTTTAAGGTTCTCCTGACGTTCAACTGATGTCTGCCCTCCTGAATCTTAAACCCATTAGATCACGAGTAGCCAACGTGATACCACTGAGATGTTGCTGGACCACAACTCCCCTAATATCTAACCATTGGCCTTTGGGCTGGGGCTGTGAGATCCACATTGGCTATCGCTGCATTAAACCTATTCCAGCCCTCTGGGACAACAGAAATGGCTTCCCCATCTTCTGTGTGACATCCCTTTCGGTATATGAAGATGTCTACTATGCCCCATCTCCATCAATTCTTCTGTAGCCTAAACATTCCTAGTTCTTACAGTTCTTCCTCGTAGAACTTGCTTTCAAACCACTGGCCATCTTCATTTCCCTCCTTTGAACCTCTTTCCATTTGACTTCCTCCTACATATACTGCTCCTACATATATCCCCTCTTCCAATAAAAGCAAACTCCCATTGATATTTCCTGCTGTAAGCATGGGGGGTGGGCGGAAACAGTATGTTGATTGCTAGCGTATATCCAAATACATCAGTCAGTTCTTAAGAGAAAAGGGGACAGCTCCATTACATGCTGGCATTGAGTGGACTTACTTGTCACTGCTCAAATTGGATAAAAGCTTTTAGACATTTCTTCTGATTAGGCAGCTTTTAATTACCACACACACAAATGAACATGTTTTTCCTGTCCATTTCATTCTGAACATCAACCACAGTTCAATTATCGACACAGCTTTGTATAGAGTAGATATTTGACTTGTCTAGTCAATATCCTAGCTTGAGAGCCATTAATATGCAGCATTACTATTTGGCCAATATGCTTAGGTATGTTGATTTTCTCCTTTCACCCACTCTGGAAACACTTATCCAATAGGAAATAGTTATCCCAGGAGGTTCTCTCTTCTTCTCTGCCCTCTCCCTCATACAAAACTTGAAGCAACAGCAAGCAGATGATCCAGGCAGCAGCAGGAGAAAGTGCCAGTAAGAGAAACTACTCTGGGAAGTAAGGATGAAATGTGTGGTTCCTGGTCCCCTTTCTCAAGAGCTATGAAACACACACCATGGCATCACCAGCCTGGTCTAAATGAGGTCCTAGAATCCTATAAAGACATGCACTGGTTCTTTTGACAAGCAGAGATTCTACAATTTCTGGAGGACAATAGGCAGAGTTATGTGTTGGAGCTGAGCTAATAGCAGGCTGCAGGCAGAAGACAGAGAGCGAGAGCCATACTTGATTTCTGCTTGAATCCAAGGCTGTGACTATGGGAGAAGCAAGACCTTCCACGGTGTTGATGACATAATCTCTTCCATCATAGGCTCAGGTTGCATCATATCTTTAAGTAAACCATATATCATAAAGACACCACAGTCTCTACTGTCCTTCATTCCAAGGAAACTGAACCCCAAATAAGTGCCTGGAACCCCTGGAATTGTGCACTGCTCAGAGACTGGGGCAGCTTGCAAAAGTATTAATTGTAATGGATTATCCATTTTAAAAAAAAAATCAACAAAATTATTGCAATTCTTTTCTCACCCTGAGGAAGGAAGGAAATATTTTTACCAGCAGCAAATCACAACCTTCCCCGCATAGCTTGATTGGCTTTCATGCTCACCGGAGGTTCCCAACTGCTGTAGCAGGAATTACTGCACATTCGTAAATATGAAACACATCTGACAGGTTCCATCACATTTCTACTAAGATGCCATTTATGGACCGGATGATGCATTTCAGTGTCAAGGATTTGCAAAGCTACAATTTTCATGCAGTGATGGCAATTACAGCGAGATAACTTGGCTGTTTCTTTTTAACGGTAATACATTTTTCTACACCTGAGGCTCTCCTCAAGTTTCCTTACATCCACATTGGCCTTTGGCAATTTTCTACTGAATACCACTGTTCCAGTACTTACTTTTAAATGGGGAAATTTGTAGCCTCCAACATTCAAGCTATCAGATACTCAGCAGCTTATAGCGGTGATTCATCTCTTCTGGAAAGGTTTTAAATGCAAGAATGTAGACTCGGGGTATGAGCACTAGTTCATACTTTAAGCGTTCCAGAGTAAGAGCTTTGAATCTCAGGTTCATGGGATCATAGGTACTTAATGCCAAAGCCTGCACACATTCTCTCTCTTTCTGGATTTCTATATGTCCTATTTAAATTGAAAGTATCAGTCATTTCTTTCTGCACTGACAGAGCAGTTTAGAAATATAGGAAAGCTACCTTAGTCAGAGTTAGCCCATTGGTACATCTAGTTAAGGACTGTCTACACCAGGGATGGTAAACCTGTGGCCTTCTGGATGTCAGACTCACAGCATGGCGAGTGAGCAGGGATGATGAAGATTATAGGTCAGCAACATCTGGAAGGATACAGGTTCACCACTCCTGGTCCAGACCAACTGATAGCACTTTTCAGGGTTTCAAATAGGAGTCTTCTCTAGTCTTCCCTGAGATGCCAGGGACTGAACCCCAGACCTTTTGCAAATGAGGCAAGTGATCTACCACTGAACCAAAGGCATCTCGCAAGTCCGAGAGCTCAGGCTGTTCCTCTTCTGAAACCTGAAAACTGGGCAGGAAATAACCTGTTGTCATTTGCCTGCAGCCCGCACTCACTCAAAACACCAAACTGAAATGAAATCAAGTGCACAAGTCAACAAAGGAGGAAGCACCACCACATTCAAAAAGTGAGCACGCCATAATGGCTGTAACTAGCAGGATCTTTTGCTAGAAAAGTAATCAGTATTCTAGCTGAAAAGCTAAACAAGAATACTAATCCACTTAGAGGCCACATGTCTGACAATAATGAGATGGGACAGTGATAAATTCAGCTGACTTCCAATAAGCCTTTCATGGCCACCCATGGGTTGTACTTCTGTTGTTTTGCAATTACATTCCAAAGGGAATCTGTCCTCTTTGGAGATTGCATTCTGGTGAAATAAGCATTTGAGCTGCCCATGGGTCTAGAACAATAATATTTCCTATATATTTTACATAGAAAGTAAAAGCTACTGCACCTGGCAATTCTTTAAAAGAAAATTTTCCTCAACATGTCATCCCCCTCTTCAGAGTATGTTCTCTTAAAGGGCCATGACTGTCACTGAGCATTTCAAAATTTCAGCTGAAGCTGCCTTGCGTGCCTTCCTCTTATCCAGTCACTCTAATTCAAACCTGCAGCTGGATTAAACAAATTATGAGAATCCTCAGTCAAATGGAAATAGAGAGAAAAACAGAGGACTGTGAGGGGGGAGACCAGCCTTCAGGTTCTTTTTCATTTGACTGAAAAATTATTTTTAAACGTGCTTCTTCTTATTCTTATTTCATCTCTTAATAGAATTGACTGCACCAGCCACATTTGTTGCAGCTTTTAAGAAGCTACAGAAGTGCAGTAGCTGAGCTGCGATCTGTTCCCATTTCAGATCTCACCTTTGCTGAGGACTCACCAGGTAGCTTTAGGCCTTCATAGCTTTTGTGAAAAGACTGGGAACAAAAGAAGTAGTCTGGAACATAGAGACTCCCAAGGAGAACATGCAATTTAAGAGAGCAAGTGTCATTAGGGAAGATGCAATGGTTACATTCCTGGGTACCTCATTTATATGTGAAATTACCTATAGCAAGAAACCCCATAGTGGGCAGAGACCCCGGTAGAAAATGGACTGAATAACAGGAACCCAAGCAAAAGACCTGAAGGATGGTGTGAAGAGGTAAAAAAAAAATGAGCTATTTTATACGCTTTCTGACCAGCCAGTACTTTGTCTGCAGCTGTCCAGTAAGATGATTTAATGCTCATTTAATTGAAAGAATTATACATTTTAAGAGACTCCCACTCAAAAACTATCACCTTTATATCTGACTTAGAAAATACTGATAGTTTACGTAACATGATAATCAAATGAATATTGCATTCTACCATCTATCATGCAATTTAGACGCTGATTAAAAAATTATACAAAATCTGAAAGATTCATGATTCAGTTGCAAACCCAGGATTTCTTATGCACAGTAAATCTGCCAACCAATAAAATTTGGTTTTGTGTCAGTCGTAATGCCTGGGCTGTTGTTTTTCCACTCCTGCCAAGATGCCATAAATTTAGTCTACATTCACAAAACAGAATAAATAAGCCAATAGGACCATATTGGGAAATACCGAATTATTTTACAATATATGCAGATTTCCTCAATGTTACTGTTGAATCCAAAAGGCATGCAAAAACATATGCATTGTGATTTGCCAATAATTTAAGAGAATGGCAGCCATAAGGATGCACACACTCACAAACACACATGGGCAGATCAGACCTATCATTAGGGTGGCTATTTGCACATCCTCAGAAAAGAGAAAAAAAGAACAGGATACTGAGTTGCATTAAAACATCACGTGCTAACGTATATGTATAGCTGCAAAGTTTAAAAATAATTGCTATGATTTAACTAGAAATACAATACACCTCCCAACAGGGGTGGGAACTATGGGTTGATCTACACACAGGAAAAAACCGCTATAAATAAGTCAGAAATTAAATTGTTATAACAAAAGGGGGGAAAACACTATTGAAAATCACTAAGAATTTTTATTTTATTTTTAAATTTATTTTTGCTCCCCAGTGCCATCTGGTGTTGCATGTTTATAACGCATTTGAAACACTGGTTTTTGATTAATGTAGCTGAGTCCTATGTGACTACTCAGGGGTGACTTGTGTGCCTTCCCAGGTACTAACTGGTGATGAGCAACTTCAGGGCCCCTGTTAGTCCTTCTTGTGGTTGCTTATTTTTAAACCAGCCTTGGACTGAACAACCCTTCAAATGGAGAAAGCCTTCAGTGAAGCATCGTCTGACAAAAGCATTCAAAGAAAAGAAAAACTATCTTCTGGAAAGCAATACACAGAGCCACCCTACTTACTATTACTGATATTAATATTGTGCAGCATGAAGTGGCTAGAAGCAGACTAACTAACGCCTTTTGGAAATAAAGCATTGTCCAGACCTATAAAATATTATTCAAATTTTACTTCAAAACAAACAGAAACATCAAATGATACATCGTAAACATCCATACAATGGCTTGTGCTGTCCAGCACAGACTCACCATTTTAGAAATAAAAGATAATTCCAGAAATCAAAATGGTGTCACTCCCAGATTCCAGCCTGCCTTAGCCTGCCTAAGGCTATGCAGTTTCTTAGAGAGCCATTATCACATCTTTTTTTTCCTCTGAGGCATTCAGAAAAAGACTAACAGTCACCACCATTTCAAGATGGCGAATTTGCAACTCAATAGCCTCATCACATGATCAAAGCTTGCATTCAGTTTAGAGTAACAGAAAACAATCAACAGGTGATCCTCAACCCATTGAGGAGTTTAGAGCCCCTTAGAAAAGCACTGTGGGAAAACCCCAATGCTAGCAATGCACATGGAGCCATTCTCCATGTTAAACCTTCATTCATTTCGCTGTCAATTAAACCAATTATACTTTACACACTCTGATCTCAGGACCCAAGAAGACTGTCAAGCCTGACTGCAACCGTCTAAGTTTGTTGGAAATCACTGCTTTCGATGCATTTTTAATTCAGATGGGACTTCTGGCCCACATTAACAACTCTGAGTTGGGGACCGGGGAATGAGAGTTCTTCTGCAGATTACTCAAATGAAATATGGAGAACACGTGCATTTCAGGTGAGGGAGGGGACCTCCCTTTCTCCATGTTGCTGACCCCCAAAGAGTAGCAAGAGGGCCCATGCCACCTGAGCGAAACAGGCCAAAGCTGCTCTAGAAACCTAGAGCAGCTAAGTCGGAGAAGAGAAATGAGCTGCAGGGTTCCTCTTAACAGCCTGCCCCACCCATTCCATTGCACTGTCTTGTCCCACCCACTGAGATTTTTACACTCAAGTGGGATTATTCATTCATTCTATCTGTGTACCACTCACATAACTTAGCTATCCGGGCAGTTTACAGAGATTTTAAAAATAATAATAATAAAAATACCAATACAGTTCCAGTTTTACTAATTAGCCCCTCAACCCCCCCCTCCACACACACTAAAGCCATACTCTGAGCCATGCTACAACTACACAGCTGGTGCCAACTGAGCAGAGTTGGCAAGAGGGGCAAGCAGAACAACAGCTTGGTCATGAACCTCCTCCACTCCATGTGCAGATGAGCAGAGAGGCAATGTGAGGGTTGCTGGGTAGCTCAATTGGTTAGAGTGTGGCGCTGATAACACCAAGGTTGCAGGTTTGATCCCCATATGGGACAGCTGCATATTCCTGCATTGCAGCAGGTTGGACTATATGATCCTCAGGGTCCCTTCCAACTCTAGGATTCTATATAGAGCAAAGTCAAAAGATGATAAAGCAGGAGGGGGTTATCATACATTGGATATCATGCAGAAGGGAGGAACCCACAAATATTACTTTGAGTGTCAGTAATGCACACAGAGACCTAGATAAGTCAAGCTGGGGACTCAAGAGAGTTGCAAGAAGATTCAGGTAGCCAGACCAGAGGAGACAGCTATCTCAGCAGGAGCCAGGAGAAGCTTCAAATGGGACTGTTTTGCTATGGTTTGCAACAAGCCCTGAGCAGCACTTTTTCTTCTTCTTCTTTTTGGACACCAGAATATTTTTCCAAGGAAAATCCCATTCAAGAAAGAAAGGTATTGAACAATCTCCCCAGGTTTATTTTAGTTTTTGGTATCTTTTAAATTGCAATCATAAATGGCAGGGTGGGCATTAAATGACATACTTTTAAATTATACAAGTGTAATTTATTTCCAGTAATACACAATTATGTTTTTCAATTACATCTTTAGTAATTCTTGTCATTGTCAAATTTTTAAATTATGGCGGCTATAAATATACTCAGAGGTTCATTTTTTTTGTAAAAAGGCAATTTTTAATGTAAAGAGTACATTTTACAAAATTGGGGCTGCAGTCCTAGGTGCTCTTCCTTTTGTGGGAAGTAAGCAGCAGAGTTCCATAATATAGTTCCATAATATAGACCTAGATTCAGGTAGGTAGCTGTGTTGGTCTGATGCAGTCTATATGTGTGTGTGTGTGTGTATAAAAAAAATTGTCCAGTAGCACCTTAGAGACCAACTAAATATGTTCTTGGTAAAAGCTTTCATGTGCATGCACACTTCTTCAGGTAATATAGACCTGGCATGAAATCAAACCTGAATTGGCCTAAGCCCTCATGATAGGATGGGCTAGGTTGCGGCTGATTTCAGTCTTGTGTTGCATTTCTGCTTGCAGATTTAACACACTGGGTGGGATACAATCACTGTGGTAGCCTCTTGACAGGAGTTGCTGCCGAGGGCATATAACACTGGGCCTGAAAGCCCTACATTGACTCCCAGTACGTTTCCAAGAACAATTCAAAGTGGTGGTGCTGACCTTTAAAGCCCTAAACGGTCCCGGCCCAGTATTCCTGAAGGAGTGTCTCCACCCCCATCATTCAGTCCGGATGCTGAGGTCCAGCTCCAAGGGCCTTCTGGTGGTTCCCTCACTGTGAGAAGCGTAGTTACAGGGAACC